AAAACCACCAGCAGATGTTGTCTCATTTAGTCTTCAGAGTAACCACCTGAGGTGGCAGCCATCCCATTTTGTAGTGGACCGATGCCATATCTAGGATATAGTGGAACCAAGTTTTCACCCTTTGTCTTCCTCATTTGAAGACTGGTGTATGTTTCCAAATCCCATGTTTACTGTACTCCATGCTTTGTTTATTGGCACTGCTTAGTGCTTGATCTTGTCTAAGGATAGGTTTTCCCAATTTAGATTTGACTGTGACCACAAATTAAAGGCAAATATAGGGATAAAAGATTAACTTGCTAGTTATGAAAGATACACAAATTAGAGCAGCATTAAGGTAATGTTTTATCCCTACTAAGTCAGTAAAATTAAAGATGGTCAAGGTCTCTGTAGATACAGCAGTGATAAAACTGAAGCCTCATTTGTTGCAGAGTGTAGTATAAACTGGTGCAGCCCTTGTGAAAGGCAGAATAATACCTGTCAAGACACAAACAATTGTTTATATCCCTTGAACTCATAATCTTATTTGTGGAAAATTATTCCAACAAAGAATTCAACAGCATAAGGATACTATATATGCAAGGATTTTGCACTAACATTATGGAAAATATAACAAATCAAGTGCCCAACTGAAGATAAATAGATAACTTAGGTAATATAATTCTATTGGACTATTCTCCAGAATATTTAAATATTATGCAGATTATGGAGCAGCATGTATGCTCACCATCAAATAGTCATAAATATTGAAAATTATAAAAAGCAAAGCAAAGATCCTGTATACTTCCAAAGTTAAGAGGCTAGCAATACAGGTATTTTTACATAAAGGCATGTTTTCTGTTGATTGAGTTCTCATAATGCTGTTGGATGTAGCAATCAGTTAAGAACCAGGATTTGCTTTGCTTGGATTGACACCACTGGTTATAGGGAAAAAACCAACTTTCTCAAATGGGAAGCTACTGGTGTGACTAAACAAGGCACACCAGCTTTGGTTCAGTATCTGGCTGCTGTGTTTGGAGTCTTTGGTTAATGCCTGTGATCCACGTTGCAAAAAAACTGCAAGGTCAAGATCAGATATGACGGGGCACTGGGCCTGAGACTTCTGGATGGAAAGGCAGCAGGGAAGCATTTCTGTGTTTTCTGTTGTTGCTAATCGTTTTGACCAACTGTTATTTTTAACTCTACGTAACAAGATACAGGACACCTTTTTATTATTGAAATTTCTGTGGGACAAGTATACTGACTCTGATTTAGCTCTCTTTTTCTAAATGAAATGAGTTTTAAATGTTTTTCATATAATACATGGGTTCACAAAAATAACTTTTTCGTATGACAATTTTTGATGGTGTGAAGTTTCTTAGAAATACAATTATCACATAATAGCAGAATGGCCTATATTAGTTTTTGTTTGCACATGTGTAAACTATATAAAAGAATAATATATGCAACACATTTTTCTGGGTTTTTTTTTTTTTCATTTTCTTAGTTTAAAATGCCTTGAAAATAAATTTCTAATTATGGAGAAACATTGGATATTGATTCATATAATTAATTCTAACCTGGAAAATAACAAGGAATCGGTATCTTGCCAGTGTTTAGATTTGTCAATGAGGAACGTGGAGTGTCTTTCCAATTACTCATTCAATGGAGTTTTGTAATTATCCCTAAGTAGGAAATCTCTAGATCATTCATATGTGTTTTGTTTGTTGTTTTTGTTGTGATTGGCTTATTTTTTCTTGGGTAAATATTTTTCCTTTGGTAGTGATTTTTTGATTTTTCCCTTGGAAACTTCCCTTTCTTTAGTGTTTCCCTTCCTACTTGTCAGTGTCTCTCTTGAAAGGCACAAACGTCCCTTTCCACCTATGTTTTTTGTTTTTGGTTTTTTAACTACAGCCCAGGATGGGCCTCTGCTTCCTCCAGGGTTCTCTTGCCCATTTTCAACTAGTTCAGTTCGATTTTAAAATTTTAACCCACCTCCGAAGTTAGCCCTGTTCCATCTCTGCTCCTTGTCAGACTACATTAAAGAATCCAGGTGTCTTCAACACATTGTCTTTCTCTTCCTCACAGTATCTGCCTCACAGTATCTGCCTTGATGACTAAATCAAAAATTGTTTCATTGCATTTCTCCCTGAGAGTCTGATATTTTAGCAAAATCTGAGCCATGAGTTTCTTAAATGAAGCCACCTTCTACTTACTGGTCACGGTCTAGGTTGTGAATGACTTAAGAGTAAACCTGGTTGATAAAGCTACAAATGGCATTTATTCCTTCCTTCTTGCTGCTGAAAGTCTCACTGAGTTTTTCTTCTACTCCAATGGAAGAAGGTGCCACATCTCACTTGGCAGCGGTTCAAATGTAAAGCTCACTGGCTTTACATTAGCATCACTAAAGGGCTTTTAAAAAACACTTGCTGAGACCTCATCTCCAGATTCTGATTTAACTGGTCTAGGGTGAGGTGTTACTAGTATAAAAAACAAGCAAACAAAAATCCCTTCAGGTTATCGTAATGTACAACCAGGGTGGAAAGCCCTTCCTGATGTAGTAAAGCTCCCAATCTGTTTTACTGGATCTGTGAAATCCACAAGCATGATAGAGCCTTTATTAGTGTGTCTGTCCCACAGCCCTGGTGAGGAGTAAGACAGAAGCTTGATGAATCTAACATGATATGACCTGCTCCTGACAAAGGCCTGTTTACCAACGCTCTGTGCACTCTGAGAGTCATTTGTTTAATTGAGTGACAGAGGTTATCAGTTACTGTGACACAGATACTGTGCTAGACACCACGAGAACAATTTGACGAGGGCTTCATCCTTATGGAGGTTAGAGTCGATGACTCTGTTTTGGTTCTAGAAATGAATTCCTGTCCTGTGAGGATGCTCCTGCTTCTTCCACAAGCAGGGCTGTCTTTGGTACGCAGCTGGGCCCCATACCCTACTCTCCCGTAGGTAACATACTATTCACCTCAACCTGCCCTACGTGGCCAGATAATATTCATGGCTCAGGAGAGAAATGACCAGGACCTTGACTTCTTCATCTACCAACCAGACTAGGTTACTAAGTAATACTAGTAGCACTGGTCACCCCTGTGCCTTCTCTCTTAGTGAGCTTAGCTGGGCCATGAGCTTGGAGCCTAGAACTCTATTGGGCTGTCTGGTGAAGGGTGAGCTTTTAAGGTTTAAGACTAAAGGCAGCTGCAGTTGACCTGTTTCTGACCACTTTTTCCTGACACACATCTCAGCCTCAACCTTAACCTTTTCGTTCTAACTGAAGGCAGAGGAAGTGAGCATGGAGAAAATTCCATTAAGGAAGATGAAAGCTTGCCACCTTCCCTAAAGCCTTGATGCAGTGAGGCCACAAAGACCATTTCCTGTCTCGCTTTCCCTGGGTCCTTTTGTCTGCTTAGTCCTGGCGGCACTTCCCTCCCAAGCAGAGGTGAAACCTGACCCCACCAGCTGCAGGGAGCGATTAGGGACCGAAGAAAACAGTTGAAAAAGAATACCAAAGTAGTAAGCATCAAAAGACTAGATCTAAGAGTGAGTTCTTTTCATAATTCCCCTACTCCTCATTTCTGCTGTCCAGGGCTTCACTTGATGCACTTGAGCTATGTCAGTGTCCCCACCCCCTCATCTCCACAGAAGACCACACGCAACACAGATTTCAGCAGGGTTGGCCATTTTTCAAGAACATTTTTCACATTCATTGAGAATTGGCCTTCAGAATTGTGACTTATTTATTCTCATCCCTGTAGTGATAGCAAGTAATCATTTTTTAAGAATAGATTTGATTTTTCATGCAACCAGAAATCATTCAGGATTTAATTTGTTGAATACCCTGTGTTGAGGTTGTAAATTTGATCTGAAGACAGTTTTCCATGACAAAGTTCAGAAATGCTTTGGGTAAAAGCAGCATTCATACATAATGTTGAGCACATACTTTGATAGCCCCTGCTCTGGGCCCTGGGGATACAGTAAGACTGGCATTCTAGCTAGGGGAGAGGAGTTTACAAATTAATGAGGAATAAAACAACCAAAAAATGCTAAAGACATTGCCAAAATCATACAGTTTCTGGAAAGAAAGACTCTGAAGAAGAATGGAGGAGGTGGGGAAGGGTGGAGGTGAGCTGGTTTTGAGAGTGTGTTTTAAGGTAGGCTCGGAAAAGGGGTACTTAGGCGGAAGCCTGAGTCATACGAAGCACAAAGCCATGTCACGGTATGTTCTGGGTAGTGGCAGCAGTAAATGGAAGTTGTTGAGGTAGGAACCAGCTTGGTGTGTTTCAGAAACACCAAAGGAGCAATGTAGGGGGTGCAGAGTAGAGGAGAGGGCAGATGGTGGGAGATGAGATTGGAGGTGTAGGCCGTGGTTCTGAGGGTGATGGGAAGCAGCTGGGGGATATGCCATGCTGGAGTCAGTGTTTTGCCTTTTAGGGACATTATTTTGAAGGGTAATATTATTTTGTCTTCTAGGGACATTATTTTGAAGGTAAAGACTAATTTGTATTTATGACTTAAGACACATGTTAACAAGCCAGTGTTATGATGGGTGGAGGTGAGGAATAAATCCATATCCTTGAATATACTTAGAGTGTTTTTGCAAGAAAATCTGAGAAAGCAATGGCAGTGTTTTGTGGGTGATAGGTTGTGACACTGCAGGCAGGTCAAGAGAGGAAGGGGTATCTGTTAATCTCTTCTTTAGTAATATTTGATTTGTTACATGCATGTTTTTTTTAGAAGCTTTTTCATAATATACCATATGTGTGTATGTGTGTAAGATTTGATTTTTTGCAGAAAGAGTATAGCTGCTGTGTTTGTGAAAACACAAAGACATCTTTAAAGCAGTTTCTCCTCTGAGATAATTTGATAGGTAATGGTAAGCAGCGTGGCATTTAGATTTCTGTGAAACCCAAGCATTGACACTGTTTTCAGTACGTGAAATATGCTCTATTTAATAGATAACACTTTTTTTTTTTTTTAAATTTCAAAATATATCTTTTGCTCTTTTTCCCCAGGCAACAGAAACAGACACCAAAATCAGAGTATGCACCCGGGCCTATCATCTGCTTGTGAAAAAACTGGGCTTTAATCCGAATGACATCATTTTTGACCCAAATATCCTAACCATTGGTACTGGGATGGAAGAACACAACTTGTATGCCATTAATTTTATCCAGGCAACAAAAGTCATTAAAGTAAGTGTAGGCATTTTCTCTCCCAAGTCATGGCTCACATTTATTCCATGGGTCTAATGAATGGTTAGAGCTGATGTATATATTTACTGGCTGGAATGTTAACATTCTTGTTCTTAGTTAGTAAAGTGTTTTTCTGAAATGTAGGGGACCTTATTTTTTTTTCTTTAGTAGAGTTTTAACTTGTGTAAAATAGACTAGAGAATATAACAGAGCCTGATGAAATCACTCGAACTCAGGAGGGCGGAGGTTGCAGTGAGCTGGGATCGTGCCACTGCCCTCTAGCCTGGGCGACAGAGTGAGACCCTGTCTCAAACAAAACAAAACAAAAAAACCACAGAACCTAATAAATAATTATGAAGCATATAAGGGCCTTCACTTAGGTCTCAAAATAGAGCATAGCTAGTGCCCCCATCTGTCTCTCCTTTTCCAGTTATACCTCATTCTCAATTTTATAAAGTAGCCGTCATCCTGAGTTTTATGATGCTACTGTATTGCTTTTCTTCATAAATTTATTGCCTATATACATAGAATATATATGTTGATTTGCATCATCCATGGATTTTGTATTTGCAGATTCATATACTCACTGAAATTTATTTGTGACCCTAAAATCAGTACTCACTTGTCACTTCTGCAATTACTCAGACATACCCATATGCAAAGTAGTGGACAATTTGAGTGGCCCAACCCATATGTTCCCAAAGAGCTTGAACAGGGCAGTGATATGCCTTCTTATTTCAGCTCTCATCCTGCATACAGATGCCCTTTTTGCAGTCTAATGCCGTGTTGTTCATATTTTAATGCTTTTTGCTGGTAAGGTCAGTTTTTAAAATGGTCCCATCCTAGTGCTGTCTAGTGTTCCTAAGTGCAAGAAGGCTGTGATATGCCTTATGGAGGAAATATGTTTGTTAGACAAGCTTCATTCAGACATGAATTATAGTGCCATTGGTGGTGAATTTAGTGTACATATTAAATAAAGCACCTTAACATGAACACACAAAACAAGGTTATGTATTGATTGGTTGACAAAAATGTGATCAGAGGCTCACAGGAACCTAACCCTGTATTTCTCCTATGGGCAATGCTCCAATATTCCCTAATTCAGTGTTTGCAATGACTTTATAGAACATAACTACCACAAAATAGTAAAAATTGAACATCTGAATGATATAGTTTAGTTTTGCCCGCTCTTGAGCTTAATAAAAATAGAATCATATTTTCATGCTTTTTTTCTCTTACTCAATTCATTTTAAAGATTTCTCTGTGTGGCTGTAGCTATTTGTTCATTTTTATTAATGTATAATATTCTATGGTATAACTATATCACAATTAACTGTTTATTGTTGATGGACATCTAGTTTGTTTCCAGCTTTTGGACATTATGAATAATGCAGCTCCGAGTATTCTTCTATATGTATCTTACACATACATGCCTGAGCTTCTCTGTAGCATATACCCAGAAGTGGAATGGTTGGTTCATAGTGGTAGGTAATAACAAACTGTCTCCCTAGATTCTTGAGCCAATTTTTATTTGAATCGATAGAGTTCCTGTTATTCCACATGCCTGATGATGCTTGATATTGTCATAGGTATGGTAGGTACTTCAATTTCCTTTTGTCCTTATATGGTTGGTCAAGTTTATAGTGAACTAGGGAGTTTGTTCATTGAAAGCACAATAATTTGTGCTTTCAATGAATAATTTGTGCTTTCAATGAATAAGGAACTCCTTTCTTTGTGTCTCTGTGTGTGTGTGTGTATGTGTGTGTGTGTACGTGCGACACACACTGTTTGTCTTTCTGTCTCTCTCTCTTTCTCTGTCATTTATCCAGGAAATAGTTTATGGAACACTCAGTGTATATTAAGTCTTATCATGGTCACTCTCAAGGTATACAAAATTAAAGTAGAATTTTGTAGTTTTCCTTAGGGAGATTGGAGTCTTAGTAAGAAAATCTACTTTTGAAGCACCATAATATGGAAGCCTTGGTGTATGTCTAATAACAAGCTCTGAATTACTTTGAACTTCATACTTTTTTTTAACTTTTCATTCCTGTATAAAACTTAAGAGATGTGACTGCTGCTTTTGGCAAGATAGGGGAATCTTTTCATATTTTAAAATTTTTGCCAGGAAACATTACCTGGAGCCAGAATAAGTGGAGGTCTTTCCAATTTATCATTCTCCTTCCGAGGAATGGATGCCATTCGAGAAGCAATGCATGGGGTTTTCCTTTACCATGCAATCAAGGTATGGTAGAAGAACTGTTTGCCCTGTGGGAACCAACTTTACTTGGGGCAAGGGTTTTCGAATTGTGGTGTGTGGGCCAAGTCTGGCCTGCTGCCAGTTTCTGTAAATAAGATTTTTTTGAGACAGAGCCACACCCATTAGCTTATGTCTTGTCTGGGGCTGCTTTTATGCTGTAACAGCAAAGTTGAGTAGCTGTGACAGAGGCTACGGCCTAAAATAGTTTTTATCTGGCCCTTTACAGAGAAAAGTTTGCTGATCTCTGACTTATGGTACAACTGTAAATTCCCATTTTTATTTGTCTTGCTCTTAGTTTGGCATGGACATGGGGATAGTGAATGCCGGAAACCTCCCTGTGTATAATGATATCCATAAGGAACTTCTGCAGCTGTGTGAAGATCTCATCTGGAATAAAGACCCTGAGGCCACTGAGAAGCTATTAAGATATGCCCAGGTAGAGAGACAAGTGTTCTAATAGATGGATTTTTTTCCTATCTTTGAATTTACTACTCATCTACAGTTAGTAGACCTTCATTGTGGAATAGAAGCAAATATCTAATCATGTCTTTGGGTCATTGAAGATATCTACAGAGAGTTACAGAGATGGTGGTGTAGCTAGGGCAAGGAAGGATAAACAGACCATGCCTAGGCTGCGTCCATATTCTGAACTTAGGTTCCTTTAAATTTATTTTAAGATGTAAAATTTGTTTTTCTTGTACCAAGTAACGTTTTAGTTCTAGAATATTTACAAAATTCTGGTAAGCAAAGGAAGAAAATAAAAATCACTTATAATCCTATCACCCAAAGTTAAACATTTGAGATTTTGTTATAACCTTTAAGTAATAGGAGTTTTTTTTCTTTTTGCAAAATGAATATGCATGCATAGGTACATATACACACAGTTTTTCCAAAAATAGAACTATGCTTTAGATGCTTTTATGGTAATACTTTTTTCTTAGCAGTGTACTGGGAACATATTTCCATTTTACTTTTTTTTTTTCCCTAAAAAAAAAGAAAGAAAGAAAGAAAAAGAATAAAAGAAAAATGAAGGAGAGGAAGAAAGAGAAAGAGGAAGAGGGAGAGAGAACGGGGGTGTTGCTTTATTGCCCGGGCTAGAATGCAGTCTAAAAATGGGTATGCCTATAATTGTGCTTAATAATAGAGACATGAAAAAAAAAAAAAAAATGAGGGAAGAAAATAACAAACAAGCAGCCAACCAATATTTCATTGAAACCTGTAAATAGATGTGATGTGGTACTGATAAGAGTGTATATTTTGTGTATTTAAAGTGGAGAGTTCTATAAATGTTAATTAAGTTTACTTGTTCCTGATCTGAGTTCAAATCCTGGATATCGTTGTTAATTTTCTGTCTCATCGATCTCTCTAATATTGATGTTGAAGTCTCCCACTATTATTGTGTGGGAGTCTAAGTCTCTTTATAAGACTTACATATCTGGGTATTCCTGTATTGGGTGCGTATATATTTAGGATCTTTAGCTCTTCTTGTTGCATTGATCCTTTTATCATTATGTAATATCCTTCTTTGCTTCTTTTGATCTTTGCTGCTTTAAAGCAGCTCCGGCTTTTTATTTATTTATTTATTTTTGCTCTCCATTTGGTTAGTAAATCTTTCTCCATCCATTTGTTTTGAGTCTTTGTGTATCCTGGCATGTGAGATGAGTCTGGATGCAGCATACCGATGGGTTTTGGCTTTTTTTGCCTGCCTGTGCCTTTGGATTGGGGGATTTAGTTGACTTAAATTTAGAATTAATAATAATATATGTGAGTTTAATATTGCCATTTAATGTTAGCTGGCTGTTTTGCCTATTAGCTGATGTAAATTCTTGATTATGTTGATGCTCTTTACTTTTTGGTGTTTTTTAGAAAGGCTGATAGTGGTTGTTCCTTTCTATGTGTAGTGGTTCTTTCAGAAGCTCTTGTAAAGCAGGCCTGGTGGTGATGAAATGTCTGAGTGCTTGCTTGTTCACAAAAGATTTTATTTTTCCTTCACTTACGAAGCTTAGTTTGGCTGGATGTAAAATTCTGGGTTGAGAGTTATTTTCTTTAAGGATGTTGAATATTGGCCCCCACTCTCTTCTAGCTTGTAGGGTTTCTGCTGAGAGATCTGCTGTGAGTCTGATGGGCTTCCCTTTCTGGGTAACCTGACCTTTCTCTCTGGCTGCCCTCAGTATTTTCTCCTTCATTTTAACCCTGGTGAATCTGGTGATTATGTGCCTTGAGGTTGGTCTTCTTGAGGAATATCTTTGTGGTGTTCCCTGTATTACCTGGAGTTGAATATTGTCCTGCCTTGCTAGGTTGGGAAAGTTTTCCTGAATAATATCCTGAAGCGTATTTTCCAGCTTGGATTGATTCTCTTCGTCACATTCAGGTACACCTATCAAGCATAGATTAGGTCTTTTCACATAGTTCCATATTTCTTGGAGACTTTGCTCGTTCCTTTTTATCCTTTTTTCTCTAATCTTATCATCTTGTTTTATTTCATTAAGTTGGTCTTCGACTTCTGATATCTTTTCTTCTGCTTGATCGATTCGGCTGTTAAAACGTGCAAAGTTCTCGCGTTGTGTTTTTCAGCTCCATTAATTCACTTATATTCCTCTCTAAATTGTGTATTCTTGTTAACATTTCGTCAAACCTTTTTTCAAAGTTCTTAGTTTCTTTGCATTGGGTTAGAACAAGTTCTTTTAATTCACAGAAGTTTCGTATTATCCACCTTTTGAAGCCTGCTTCTGTCAATGGAACGCACTCGTTCTCCATCAGGCCTTGTTCCGTTGCTGATGAGGAGCTGTGATCCCCTGTAGAGGGAGAGGCGTTCTGATTCTGGGTATTTTCAGCCTTTTTAGGCTGTTTTCTTCCCTTCGTTATAAATTTATCCATCTGTGGTCTTTATAATTACCGTCTTTGTAATTGGATTTCTGAGTGGACGTCCAACTTGTTGATTCCCAGTGCCGGAATCTGAGCAACCCACTGCGCCCACCAAAACAGCGGCGTTAAGATTGATAGTGCTTTTCTGACTCTGCACCAAGAACCGCCGCACCAAGGCAGCAGCAAAACCGCCTCGCCAGCCACAAGAGTCGCGCTGGCGACCCGTGACGCTCCTCCGCTGGGAATCTCCTGGTGTGTGAGCAACAAAAATTCGTCTGAAAGTGTGGCGTCCTCTCGTTCTCTGCGCTTTCACGGGGAGCTACAATGCCGAGCTGCTAGTGATCAGCCATCTTGGATCTCTCTCCTTTTACTTGATATTTTTCTACCTCATTATTTAAAATAGCTGTTCTGAATATTCTTGTGTGGCTATGTTAGTATTACATGGTCCCCACTGTTACATGTTTTGGTTTGTATACCTGTTTATGTTAGGATCTAGTCCATCTGTGGCAAAGTCCTGCAGTTCAAGGCTTGAGTTCTATATACATTTGATCTATAAAAAATGAGTATAATTATGGCTAATTCAGACATCAGCTTGTTTCTCACTTATAGGTTGGGCACAGTCTTAGGCACATGAAGTATCTATCGTAGGTGCTGCTTCCTGGAATTCAGTTTAAGGAAAGTTGTGATCTTTATCTCAAAAGGACTTGCATTTTAATCTGTTGAAGAGAATGATGACAAAGGGAAATATTTTTCCCACAAAGCATGTTGAGAAAGTGGTAGGATGCTTTTGTGTCTGTTGCCAACCTTGTTAATATTTTCCATGTTAGAATATGAATTTAGCTCTGATAGAACTGCCAAGTGTTCCTTTTCCATGGAAGAGTAATGAGATGCTCTGGAAGAAGGATAGGCAATATGGGATTAACCACGTCCTTGTTTTATCAGCCTTACTAGTAGTAAGACTTAGATTTCTGAAATTGCTTGTGGAAGCCTTAGGCTCAATAAAGTTGATAGGAGTTCAGACACTGTGCCAATGCACACATGACCCTCCTCTCAGTTCCTTAAAAACATTTATAGTTTCTCATATGGACCCAGGACAGAATATCTTATTTGGTTGTGGCAAATGCAGTGAAGTTCTATGTCTCAGTGCATTACTTAAGAAACACTCCATTGATTTTTTATGTTTTTCCTATTTTCTTGGCCATTTCTGCTCACATAAGACAGAGTGCTTAGCCGTGTCTTATTCTTTGAACATTGAGACATGGGCGTTAAACACCAGTCAGCTTGGAGTCATGGTCTATCTTCTACCAAGTAGGGGGCCTTTCATTAATAACTGTTAACGAGTTCTGTTGAAGGCCAAAGGGGCATCATAGCCTCTATAATCATGAAGTCATACTAGAGAGTTCTTAACCCATGAAATGATGTGTTTTCATCTTTTTCCTGATCTGTCCAGAGGAGGCAGCCCTCTTACTTAGGAAAGGGGCTCCTTATTTGTGAGACCGTTCCCATTTAAGGTTTTTTTGGCATCGTATTTTGTGCTAGACATTCTTTTGGTCTGTATTTACTTTTAGCATTTGCTTACAAGTTTTCATTTCTGTATATCATGCTGAGCTGTCAAGAGGTTTTGCCCCGGAGGCACTGCCAGTGTGAGGGAAGTCTTAATAGCAATTGCAAGAGCTTAACAATTCATCATATAAGAATTTCCTCATTCTTAATGTAACCATGAGGGCCTCTCATAAGCCACTGACCTCTCTGTCAGGGAGGCTGTCTACATTCAAGGTGACTTCTGTTGCTGTTAAGATAATAACCAAAGCAGGTATACTCAACTCCCCGGAGTCGCCAGCTCTGTAGCAATTCCTTAGAATGCACTGAGTGCAAATGGAGCATGAAGAGCAGGAATATTATGAGGGAAATAAGTCAAGGGATTTTTGTCTCTTTTATAAGAGAATGATCTCTTTTGGTTATTGCACCCAAATTCCTGTCTGATACATTATTGAAACTAGTGGGAAGAGTGCTGCCTCCGAGCTTCTAAGGCTCTCCAGTCTCACATTTGGGGAGTAATGGGATTTTTTTGAAAAATAATTTTCCTAATTTAGTTCAGGCTGACCTGTGGTAAGTAAATTATTTTTGATAATAAAAATTTCTGGATACCATGTAATTTACATGGAGGATCTTTATTAAATGGTACCCTAATGGAGGCCAGGCATCCAATGGAGTGGAAGGATTGCTGCTCTGGATAGGATGGCTTTGGAATGACCCTGGAGCTTGAGAATATTCTCGATACTTTCAGGGAAATTTTTCTGTTCTTTGACTTGGCCTTGATCCTTCCCTTTGCCATTTGAACTCACATTCTTCTTTGGCTTTCTCTGCAGCAGTTTACTCACTTTTATTACCGACACAACCATGAGGCCCCTGTGAGGCAGAAGCAACTCTAGAACAGGAAGAAGTAATTTTCTCATTAGCTTTGTATACGTACAGGTACAAGGAGTAGCCAGATGGACATGACAATTGCTTGGTCAGTTTGCTTGGTAGCTTTCCATCTACTAGGTTTCCACAGTATGCCTGGGTCTGGTCTTCCCTAGTGTGTGAAAACTATGAAGCACCTTGTATGAATATCATGGGAAAATCCCTATTGAATAGCTACATGAAAAGTGAGATGGGCCTCCACATGCCACTGTGTACTTCTGAAGTACTGCTTTTAACAGTACTGTTTCATTTTAAGTATTGCTTTCCTGAATCAAGTTCATCAGATTTAGAACATAGCTATCACGTGGGATAGTTTTTAGACATCACAGCCTCCAACACGCAGTGAATTCTTTACTGCCCTTTGTATCCTCCTTTGCCTCTGTCCATCATCATATATTTTTTGCCGCCTTCCAGCCCCGTAAGTCTGGCACACTGTGGTATTTTTCTGTGAACACACCAGTTCCTTTTTTCAAGAGTGTTTGGAACACGCTGCCTTGTTTTTACAAAACTCCATCCCCCAGGCAGGAATTGTCTGATTGTGTGGCAAATAGAACAAATGGTGTTTACAGGTATCCAGTGATGGGACCGTGAGCATTAGGACTTTTTCCTTTTTAATTACTATCTCGTTCAGGTTTCTCAACATATAAGAGTCCTTGTGTTGTCATTATTGCACTTACCACCTTGGCCCTCAATCTTGGAGTTCTCCCCAGTTCCTTCCTCCTCTCCTCCTTAGTCGTTGTCTATTAATGCCTTTATATTTATCCTTTCCTTTCCTCCTGTTACCACTGCTGAGTCCAGGCCTTCGTCATGGACTATTAAAATATTCTTCCCTTCTTGTGATTCCCTTAAAAATGTTACTTTGAATGTTACTCTGCAGCTTTAGAACTTTAAATAATATCTCCCATCTCTGCCCATGCAATTGCCTGGAAGGTTAAATTTAAACTCCACAGCATGGATTTTTGTCCCTCTGTGGCTTGGCCTCTGCCACCCTGGACAAATATTACTCCAGTAAAATCAGTCTTTGTTTAGCATTAATTCATCCAGCTAATATTTACTGAAGTGTTGCTTTGTGACATTCATTTGACTGAACTGAGAGGATCTAACTAGTAAGAGAGATGTACCCCTACCCTCTCAGAGCCTACAGCTCAGTGACACATGCAAAAATGTATAGAGGCCATTGTCACCCAGCACAGCAAGTGCTGTGAGAGGGGAAGTACAGGATGCTAGAAGGCTGAGGGAGATTCTGACCCCAAACTAGAGGAGTTCAGGGAAAGCTTCCCAGAGGAAGTGATAGGTCAGGTGAGGCCTCAGAGAAATAAAGGAGGTAGCCAGGCTAAGGTTTGAGGGTAGAGTGCAGTGCTGGTGGTCCCTGCCAGGGGAGGGATATTTGCAGCTAGCCAGAGTCTGACATTGTGGTAGGTACTGCATAAATTATGTCAGATAAACACATGTGAAGGCCTGGAGGTGAAGAGATGATGGAGAGCATAAGGAACAGAAGTGTTCTGGATGGCTGAAGCTTGTTGGGAATAGCAGAAGATGAAGCTATAGGAGAAAGCCAGATCAGGTGTATTAGTCCGTTCTCATGCTGCTGATAAAGACATACCCAGGACTCGGTAATTTATAAAGAAAAAGGTTTAATGGACTCACAATTGTAGTGGAAGGCAAAAGGCATGTCTTACATGGCAGCAGACAAGAGAGAGGACTTGAGCAGGGAAACTCCCCTTTATGAAACCATTAGATCTTGTGAAACTCACTGTCACAAGAACAGCACTGGAAAGACCCGTCCCCATGATTCAGTTACCTCCCATGACATGTGGGAATTGTGGGAGCTACAATTCAAGAGGAGATTTGGGTGAGGTCACAGCCAAACCACATCATCAGGGCATTGGATGGCATGGCAAGGAGTCAGTATCATGTCATGAAAGCAATAGGAAACTTACACATAGATGTTTTTCAGAGGGAGCAGTTGGATTAGATTTGCATTTTGGATACATCCTTTTGGCTACAGTGTAGAAGATGAATCAGAGACCAGAATGATTCTGGTCTGTGGAGACTACTTAGTTCTTGGACTGTGAAAATGGAAGCAGGATGGAGAGAAAAATATAAGGTATAATTGTTAGGATGAGGTGATTTTTTTGATTGAACTTGAATAGTGAATGGAGATTCAAGGATGATACTTAGGTTTCTGGTTTGGCAGCTGGTACCACCCGTTGAGGTGGAGGAAACAATAAAGTAATGCAATTTGTCATATGTGCTATAATCATTGCACGTTTGTTCCTTTGCTGAATCTGCCCCTTTTCAACATTCAGCTTCTTTGAAACCTTTCTTTGCCACCCTAGCTTACGATAACCATTCCTTCCTCAAAATTCCTACATACCTAGTCTGTATTCTGTACTCATTCAGCCCTTGACATATATTCTCTTTCTTTATATATTTTCTACCTCTCTAATGATATGGCTTAATTTGTTTTCTTTTGGTCTAATGGAATATCAAAGACTTGGTAATTTATAAAGAATTTTATTTAGCTCACAGTTCTGGTAGCTGGAGAGTCTAAGAGCATGGCCTTGGCCCCTGGTGAGGGTCTTCTTGCTGTGTCGTAACATGGCAGAGGGCATCTCATGTTGAGAGGGCCACAGCAAGAGAGCCAGAGAGATAGCAAACCTGCTTCCATGGTAGCAGCATTAATCCATCCCTCATTAATCCATTCATGGGGACAGAGGGATTAAGTTTCCAGCACAACTTTTGGAGGACACCTTCAAACCATAACCGTGGCGAGTCCTTGAGAGCGTAGTCTGTGTCCTACATCGTCTCTTAGTTGTGCCCACCTTTGATGTCAGACTTAGCTTCATTGTGGCCTGCCTGCATCTGTTTGTGGGTAATGGTGATCCTTGTTGAGAGCTTTGAAGGCTTATCAGGTTTGGAGTATAGCTTTTCTTACTGTCCTGGAAATATTGTCTCAAGTTGTTATTTTTAGAAAAGAAGGAAAGAAAAGAAGGGAAACTTACTCTGTCTCTATATTAACAGTTTAAACCCTAAAACGTTTCTCATTTTTCCCTCTCTTTTCCTTAAACATTCATTGAGATGTTATTTTATGTTGGACAGTCTACTAGGGGCTGGAAAAGCAAAAAATAAGACACAAGGTGTTTTTTGTTTTGTTTTGTTTTGTTTTTTCCGCCATCAAACAGTATGGTTAGTGATGAGTTGTATCCATTTCTTGGTTTCAATTTCAATTCAGACTCATGGCCAAGGAGGGAAGAAGGTTATTCAGACTGATGAGTGGAGAAATGGCCCTGTTGAAGAACGTCTTGAGTATGCCCTTGTGAAGGTGAGTTATAGAAGCCTGAACTGGAGGGCTGGCAGCTCATTGTGGCTGACTGATGCTGTTCCTGGAGGTGTGGTACTGACAGTAGCTGGAGAAGGAGATGCCCCAGACCAATGACTCTCAACCTGAGTAGGCCCCCGTCTCCCAAACTCCCCACCCCCGACAATAGCACATTTGACAGTGTCCAGAGACATTTTGATTGTCATTACTGTGTGTAGGAGGTATTACTGGCATCCTGTGGCCAAGGATGCTGCTAAACATCCTGAAGTGCCTAGGATAGCCCTAAACAACAAAGGATGTTCCCTCCCAAGTGTCAGTAGTGCTGAGGCTGTGAATCCTGTCCTGGACCAAGTTGCTGTCAGTTGGTCAGCAAGTCAGTTTCATAGTTGGAATTTTAGGCTTTACACAAGATCAATAATCTCTTGGCTTCAGTTTCCTCATGTGTGAGTCTGGAGAATCTCAGAGGTTTTTTTTGTTTTGTTTTGTTTTGGCTCTGAATTTTAACGTTTAACTCTTGGGCCTTTTGAGATTTACATATTGCAATTCGAGGAGCTAGTCAGCCCATCCAAGGATCATTGAACTGGGGACCCTGGAGGAGAGGGGCTTGGCAGTGAAGGTTGGATAAGTCATTGGAGGCTTCATGGTTTTGAACTTCATTTCAGAGCCCCATCCAGTGTCACTTCTCCCCCAACCCTACAGCATTACAGTGAGAAAACTTACTCATTTCACCACAGGTATTTATTAATGTATAATCTGGTAAAACACTAAGAAACAAAATGTATTTTTTGATGCATTTGAACTTATTAGGCCTTCTCTATTAACTCATTTTACTGAGGTACATTTTAAAGCATTTTGTTAATTGGCATATAAAATTGTATGTATTTACTGCATATAACATTCTATTTTGGAAGTATATGAGGTATTTACCTTGTTCAATAAAGCCAGCTGAGCACTTTATCTCAATCCTCAAAATAAACATATGAGATACTATTGTAATATTCTAATTGAGAAAACTGAGGCTTATTGAATTAATTGAGGCCTAAATTAGTGATAGGAAGCCAGATTGAACCCATCCACTCTGATTCTGGAACCCATGCGCTTAAGCATTTTCATGCTGGCTCTGTGGAGGTAAGCCAATTTTTTAAGTGATTTTTTTTCTTTTTGTCTTTTTTAGGGCATTGAAAAACATATTATTGAGGATACTGAGGAAGCAAGGTTAAACCAAGAAAAATATCCCCGACCTCTCAATATAATTGAAGGACCCTTGATGAATGGAATGAAAATTGTTGGTGATCTTTTTGGAGCTGGAAAAATGTTTCTACCTCAGGTTGGCAAAAGATGGGGAGACATTTTCACAGTTGACTCTTTCCTTTGCCATTTAATAAATAGTGATTTGGGGTATATTTCTCAGGTTTAATTTGGACAAGAGTTCAATTGCATTGTCTAGTTATTCCTTCTTTAAATATAGTTAGGAGTCATGTCTGGAAAAGTCCATTGTTAGAATGATGTGGATGTTACAAAATCATCTGAAAATTCTTAGCAACGTAATCTATCATAATCTTTATGTTCTAATTTTTGTATCATCTGTTACCCCAATGCCTATCTCTCCCGCCCCCCAAAAGTAAAATAAAACCCAAGATAAACATAGAGTTACTAACACTAAGACTTGATTTGAACAGGCACTGTTCATCTGTAAGGATGCGTGTTTTGAGACAAATGTTACTGTTTTAAATAATGGTACATTAAATGGCTTGTTTAAAGTAAAACCAGAACTCTTATTTTGATTTATAGCAGCGACTATCCACGTCCGTTAACACATACTTGTTGAGCATGTGGGTTAGTGGCTGTGCGGCATTTGAGAAACTAAACTGCCCTCACCTTGCCTAAATGTAAGGCTTAATTTTAAGTAAGTTGTAAAGGTGGGACTTGAGAAGAGAAGGCTTGGAATGAGCTCATGGTGGGAAACCTGGTCCTGAAGGATACATAGAACTCTTGGGTACATGATAGAGTGCCTGCTAGATAGAGGAAAAAATAACAAGCAAAAGTTCAGAAGACAGAAATTATAGCATTTGATTTCTAGCCTTGTTTTCCTTCTGTTGTACCTTATTATTCACTGGCTTTTCCTCTGGGAAGCTTATCCTTTATTCTGCCTGCTGTCAAAAGACTCCAGTGTAGCTGGCCTGTTGTCAAAGCATGCATTCTTAATTTGTGCCAGAATCTCACAGGTGACCATCAGCAGCTGTTCCTGTGGTTTGGTAAAGATGCCTGATCCTATGCTTTTTTCTCAGGTTATAAAGTCAGCGCGGGTTATGAAGAAGGCTGTTGGCCACCTTATCCCTTTTATGGAAAAAGAAAGAGAAGAAACCAGAGTGCTTAACAGCACAGTAGAAGAAGAGGCAAGTCATTCTGTTCAGGCCTATGGCCCTTAAATGAGTTGACCTGGAAGACTTGTTGAGGTGGTGGTAGGGGCCTAAGCAGTCGGGCTTGGCTGTGTTTGTCATTGAGGATAAAACAGAGAAAGGATCCCATGTCTGTCCCTTTTTTAACCAAATATCAGAATACTCTGTGACTTTCTTCTGAATGTAGCTTTATAAAATTTTTTAATATAGATAAAATTTTTCAGTCAAATCCCATGTTTTCAAGGCAAAACGAGTTCATTCCTTTGTTTCTTCATTAACTGATCATTTATAGACTCCTGTGATGTGTCAAATACCGTGCTAGGCACTACTCAATACTATTGTCTGTGCCTGCCCTTGAGGTAATTGAGCCATGCTTGTTTTTAGAAAACTCTTAACTGAATATTCTCTTTCTGCTGGTGAGGTCCTTGGCACCACTTCTGGATTCAATTTAATTCTTGTTGGCCGCACCACCAGAGTAAATCATTAAGCTTTTTGACCTTGTTTAGCTCCCTGTGAAGCTCAGGCAGCTTTGGTCCCTAGGATTCCAAATTTTTAAACTGATCTGTGTTTGTGAATGGCTCAGACACAGAGTTTATAAAAATCCTTCTTGTTTTGTTTGCTTCTTTTCTCTTTGTGGGGAGTAGTGGGGATGCCGGCTGTGCGCAGAACAACAGTGCTGAGGAAAGATGCTCACGTGCCCCCTGCCTGGGCTGTTGTGGAGGTTTTTCAGATTCCAGTGGAACATACACAGTTAACCTGTTCCTCTTCCTCTCCCTGGCCTCTCCCTTAATTGCTAACAGTAAACATGTGTCAAATAGGTTCCCCCCAACCAAAGTTAAGGATGTGGTCTTCAGCTGTGGGGCTATTTTGTGTGTGAATACCAACTGTTCTTTGAAAGGATGGGACCCCCAATCTTGGTGGAAGCCCCTTGGGCGGGCACATTAGGTGGGCCTCCTTTGGACTGCTTGGGCTTTGGTTTCCAGGTCTGTCTTTGAGGTGGTCTTGGTCATATTGAATTGCTTGCTGTGCTGGCCTGTGCCTGGCTCTGGAGAACTAGGTGATCGGTGCAGAACCACCCCACCTTGCTGAGCTGCTTGGCTTGTTTTCCAGGACCCTTACCAGGGCACCATCGTGTTGGCCACTGTTAAAGGCGATGTGCACGACATTGGCAAGAACATAGTTGGAGTAGTCCTTGGCTGCAATAATTTCCGGTAAGTTAGGATCTCACCTCTTTCAACCGCTTTTCCATTTAAAAATGAAAGCTTTTTAACAGAGTAATTCTTTAACGGGTGGGAAGAGTGGGGCATGGCAGTGGATGTTAGAGGTTATTTTTAATTTCTTTTTGCTTACTGTTTGCTTACTTTTTGAATTTTCTACAGTGAACACAGCATTTCAGATTAAGTTAGTAATTATCTGCTCAATAAGGACATAAAGAATAGTAAAAACTATTCCAGTGGGATCAAAACAGCCCAGAGGATTCCTGGGGTTGGATATTGGGACAGAGGCGCTAATGGCTGGAATATCAGGTTCCTTCCTATGGCCAGTGGTGTTCATCATATCCTCTTTTTCCTTTCAATAAACTCAGATTTTAGAACTGAGATCTTATGAGAACTTGGCTAAATGGAGTTTTCCAGGAAGACCTTATCTGTACAAGTCTCAATTGGCTTTGCTTAGAACCAGGATCCTGTGTTCTTGGTGATGATTAAGCTAGATTTTGGAATGTTTTATACAAATAAAGCCCCTTTCTGATATATCTCATTATAATTAGTAAATACTCATAACCAAGTCATTTCCGTGTGAGAGCTGATGACTATAGTAAGTATATGTTTAGCTTAGATTTGAACATATTCTTTGTAATTAAAAGCCCTAATAGAAATAATGCCTTCCCCATCCATGTCTGGCCAACAGTCCTTTTGAGTCTTGGACTTCTTTCTAATGTGCTGTTTTCTCTAGACAGAGAAGAAAATTGACTGGAGCTATCCTTGTGCCCCTGAGTTTTCTTCTTTGCTGTCAAGTAACAATTATCCTCTAAGCTCTCTCCCTGCTGTCAACATTGGTATCCATCTCTGCCTTCTAGGCTAATTAAATGCAGCTAAGAACCTTTCAGGAAGGCTGGAGACAGAGGAGCAGTGTCAGGAAGGCAATTTTTCCCTCTGACTGTCTTCACAAGTACTTCCATATACCTGTTCACTTGCTCTCTAAAGACAGCATTCTCTCCTAGTCCTAGAAACGAGGAATACTATTTCTATCCATGTCTGTATTATTTTTTAAAAAGATAAATTTATTGGAGATAGGTAGTTGTGATGAAATTTTACCTATATAATAAATATTTGGATAAGGTGTTGGCTTCCTGAAGTGTACAAAGCATTTCTGCTATTGGCTTAACCTTTGCAAACATGAGGTTGTTGATTTCTGTTTGCGTTCATCACCATCAGTGAAAATTCACTTCAGTTAATAATTGTTTATAGCTCACCTACTACATACCAGGCATTATACTAGACACACTAAAATGATTTAGTTGACTTTTCTCCTTGAAAAAGTTTACCATTTCTCAGGCTAAATAGCCGGGTACATGTTCAGCTTTAATAATGGGACAAGAACCATGAAAGAAGGTGACTTGTAGGTAAACTTCCTAAAAGTGATTCTTGAGATATCATTGTCATGTGTTTTATCATTATTTATTTTGTTCAATGGATACTTAGCTAAGAGTATCATACAAGCAATGTTTAGTTTTCCAGTAAAGACATTTTAAGAAGCCAAGGAACATTGTGGCATTTCTCCAGGGTGCTGCTGGAATCAAATGTCAACAGTTGTGAAGACTGCTTACTAAGCCTGAGGCTTTCCTGCAACACATCCAGTTCCGATGTGTTGTGCATTGACGGTTTGCTTATCTTTGCTAATAAGTCTAACCGGAGAAACACCTTTAGATGAAACGTTACTTTTATTTTATAAAAACAAGTGAACGTACAGACTTCATGTCAAATACCCCTTTGGTTTGTGTATGATCACACATAGACTCTTCCATTGGTGAGCTTAATTTTACGGTGTCAGCTAGTAGACAGGGGTCCCTGAAGATTGCCTTCTGGAGTAATGTGTACTTTTACTGTCAGTACCACGCTAGTATACTTGAAGGAATTACCCAGTCTAGTGAGTGAGTCCAGCAAACTATTCTGTGTCTAATCCTTCTCTTTCATGGCTTTTTATCATTGTTGTAGTGAATCTCACAAAATGATAACAGTGTTCTTTTCTTTGTAGGGATAAAAGGAATAAAGAGGGCTAAAAGGGACAGTTCTGTTTAGAGACAAAATATATTTTTTAAATGGGTAAGATATGATGCAATAGAATCGCAAATTTGAGGATTTGCATAGAACTAAATAGCACAGTTAATGCAAAAGAAAAGTTCTTAAAGGAAATGAAAAATGCTCCTCCAGTGAAAATACACAAATGACAGGAAAGCAAAACAGCCTTATTGCTGATTGGAGGAAAGTTTGAGTGGTCTGGATAGAAGATTAAACCAGCCACAATATTCCCTTAAGCTAGAGTCTCACCTAGAGCAGTCTGGTGTTGCCACAGGGATACCAAATTGAAGAGAGCTCTTCTTCAATTCTGTGAAGCCTGAGAGAGGCGAAGAAGCTGCAGAAGAAAAGTTTGAAGCCAGTAGAGGTTGATTCCTGAGGTTCAAGGAAAGAAGCCGTCTCCTAACATAGCAGTACAAGATGAAGTTCCAGTGTTGGTGGAGAAGCTGCAGCAAGTTATCCAGATCTAGCTGCGATCACTGAGGAAGGTGGCTGCACTCAACAGTAGGTGTTCAATGTAGATGAAGTGGCCTTCTATTGGATGTAAGTGCCATAAGGACTTTCATAGCTAGAGGGGAGAAGTGAAGGCCTGGCTTCAAAACTTCAAAGGACAGGCTGACTCTCTTGTGAGGAGCTAACACAGATGGTGACTATCAGTTGAAGCCAGTGCTGATTTGCCATTCTGAAAATTCTAGGGCTTTAAGAATTATGTTAAATCTCCTCTGTCTGTGCTCTGTCGATGGAATAACAAAGCCTGGATGAGAGCACCTCTGTTTACAGCATGGTTTACTGAATATTTTAAGTCTACCGTTAAGACCTGCTGCTCAATAAAAAAAGATTACTTTCAAATATTACTCCTCATTGGCAGTGCACCTGGTGACAAGAACTGATGGAGATGTACAAAGAGATGAATATTGTTTTCTTGCCTTCTAACACAACATCCATTCTGCAGCCTGTGGATCAAGGAGGAATTTTGACTTTCAAGTTTTATTACATTTTGTAAGGCTGTAGCTGCCACAGATAGTGATGGATCTGGGCAAAATAAATAAAAAACCTTCTGTAAAGGATTCACCATTCTAGATGCCATTCAGACCATTTGTAATTCATGGGAGGAGGTCAAAATATCAACATTAACAGGAGCTTGGAAGAAGTTGATTCCAACCCTCATAGATGACGTTGAGGGATTCAAGACTTCAGTGGAGGAAGTAACTGCAGATGTGGTAAAAATAGCAACAGTAAACTCGAATTAAAAATGGAACCTGAAGATGGGAATGAATTGCTACAGTCTCATAATACAACTTCAACAGATGTATTATCCTTATGGCTCAGCAAGGCTGAGCAGAGAAAGTAGTTTCTTGAGATGGAATCTACTCTTGGTGAAGATGCTATGAACAGTGTTGAAATGACAGTAGAGGATTTAGAATATTATGTAAACTTAGATGATAGAGCAGTGGTAAGGTTTGAGATGATTGACTATAATTTTGAAAGAGGTTCTGTTAGTAAAATGCTGTCAAACAGTATCGCTGCTACAGAGAAATCTTTTGTGAAAGTCAGAGTCAATTGGTGCGGCAAAATTCACTGTTGTCTTATTTTGAGAAATTGTCACAGCCACCCCAGACTTCTGCAACCACCACTCTAATCAGTCAGTGGCCATGAGCATCAAGTCAAGACCCTCTACCAGCAAAAAGATTACAACTCACTGAAGACCTAAATGATAGTTAGTGTCTTTTTTAGCAATAAATGTTTTAAATTAAGGTATATATACATTGTTCTTTTAGATGTAATACTATTGCACATGTAATGTTAAGCATGTTCTGAAAAAAGAGACCACCGAAACAGGCTTTATGTGAGAAACAAGGCTGTTTATTCACCTTGGTGCGAGTGGACTGAATCTGAAAAGAGAGTCAGTGGAGGGCGGTGGGATAGTTGATTTTGTTGGTTTGGGGTAGGCAGTGGAAAGTTGCAGAAGTTATAGTGCAGGGTGGTTTTGCCAGCTGGGTAGGTGGGGGTGTCGCTGGGAAGGTGTCACGAGGTCCAGTGTCACAAGGTTGGCTTATCAGTTAAGCCAGAACAATGGTGGAATGTCACAAGGTTGGTTAATTGGGCTTTGTAGGAGCTAGCTATTCTTACTTCAGACTTTCTGGCTCTGGGAGACCATCCAGGGGTGTACGTGTGAGTCATGGGGGTTGCCAGGGCTTGACTTAGGGTATGGCCTATGGTGCAGCCAGTTCAAAGAACCTTGCACATAATAGAGTACGGTATAGTGTGAACAACTTATATGCAGAACCTTGCACATAATAGAGTACGGTTTAGTGTGAACAACTTATATGCATTGAGAAACCAAAAAATTCATGTGACTCACTTTATTGAGTTACTTGCTTTATTGTAATGGTCTAGAGTTGAACCTGTCTAGCATTAGTCTGAGTTATGTCTATCATCTGAATTCCTCCCAAGAAATAATATAGAATATTTGGAAATATTTTTGATTTATTCCATTGAGGTTAATTTTAGATATACTCTGTAATAATAACTAGGAAAAGATAAAAGAGGACATTTTCCATTTAATAGATAATCCACAGTTTAATTACATAGAAAAACATGCTATTTCAAGATAAATTTTAAAGTTGTACATCATATGTCTAATATTTTTAGACATGGGTCTGATAACCAGTGGTTCTTAATATAACTAGTATGAGTAAAACAGCAGTATGGTTAAGCATGAAAATAGAACTGTCTAACGTTGGAACGTTCAGCTGAGTGGAGAACATGACTGTGTCTCTGTCAAGGATGTAGTAATCCAGTCTCTCCTGAGCACTTTACATGCTCACTGATAATTAGTTAGGGGCTTTTGATACATTTTTTGAAGGGGAGACCAAGAGTTTGTTTTGTTTATTTTTTTAAAATGTGTTAAAAAT